GAGGCAGGTCAGCATACCAGACTGATGTTGGAGTCGATGCTCATCTGGATGTATTTCCAGTCAAATTCAATGCCACGGGCTCCAACCCAGAGGGGGATGCAGCTGAGGAAGGCAGAACGAAGGCTTCTCTGGTCTCCACTCCCCCTCCCAAACCGGACCCTTGCCCTCTTGTCCATTCCCTCTCCCCCCGGGGCGTCCTCCCTTAGGAGTCTGGGTGCACGCACACACCCACCGGGACATAATGAGTTCTGCGGTGGCCCAGCCCAGGGCAGCGACCATGATCTTGTACTCCCCCTTGCCGGCGTTCCGGGACATGACAAGGTTCAGGCCTATGAGGTCGGCCACGTCCACGCTGGCCTTCATGAACTCCTGTGGGCCCAGGGGAGGGGCTGTGGCTTGAGGCAGATTGGGGTGAAGGACCCATGCCTATCCTCCCCTGCTCTCCCTTTCCCCTCTCACCCCTATGAAGTCATAGATGCCGCCTTCCCAGGTGGGAAAGAAAGTGGCTAGGAACAGCATCTGGGGAGACAAAGCAGAGGTCACGCCAAGGTGAAAGGGCTAAGCCTTCTGTCTGAGTGGTATGGGAGGCTGGTGTGGGAAGGCCCAGGGCACTGGGAGAACCTGAAAGCACGGTCACCTGTTGGGGGCAAGATTCTGGGGCCGTGGGAGACATTGGCTCAGAAGCTTAGGTCCCCGAGAGGGCTGGAAGAGCAAGTGCGGTGGTGAGTCTGGCCTCTGGCCTGCATGAACTAGGGCTGGCTGCCCTGTGGGAAGTCGGGGGGGCGAGGGGGGGTTTGGTCCTCAAAACCATGGGGAGCTGGTGGCAGAGGAGGTTGCACATTGGGCTGCTAACTGCAAGGCCTGCAGTTCAAAACCCCTAGCAGATCCTGGGCCCTCAAGTGATTTACAGGCTCAGAAACCTTACAAAGGTTCATTTTGAGTTGCAATCGACTCGATGGCAGTGGGGTTTTTTGTTAACATACAAGACTCTTAACCATGCAGGTGAGATTGTCCGCCATTAAAAGGCTTGTTGCCACAGACACACACACACCCGGCTTCAGGACGAGCCACCCTCCTGAAGTTTCATCCCCTTCAGACAAGAGGTCCCGGGAGAAAGACAGGCTGTCTACTCCGTCACGAATCCCACTCTCGAAAACCCACAGGGCAGTTGTACCCTGCCCTCTACAGAGGGTTGCTTTGGATCGAATCTCCTAGTTGGTCGACAGTTTGGTTTTCAGACGCCGAGTCCCGGGGGCGGCGGGGAAAGGCTCCCGGGTCCGGGACGGAGGTCTGCGCCGCTCTCACCTTGCACAGCTGCACAAAGAGGTAGGTGACCCCGGCCTGGACGCATTTCCAGAAGGCATTGTACTCGGACCTGGGGGAGCAGGCGGTGAGGCGTCCGTCGTCGGGCCCCGCCCCCCGTCCGCCCGCCCGCCCGCACTCACAGGCCGCTGCACTTGTACGTGATGAAGTAGGGGAAGTAGGCCAGGGCGAAACAGTTCCCGAAGTGGAACAGCGTCATGATGCCGGCCGCCCGGTCCCGCCGGCGCGGCCGTCGCGAGGCCGCGTCTCCCCGCCGTCACCAGAACCAGCGCCCGGCGCCCACCTGCCTCGCCGCGGCCCGCGCGCAGCCTTCTGGGAGTCGTAGTTCCGGCCCGGAGGTCGCGGGGCAGTGACGTCAGAGCCCGGGCGGGGCGGAGTGGGCGTGTCAGGCCCTGGGCGGCTCCAGCGGTGAACACCTGTATTCCCGCCCAGATTTGGGGGGCTCGACCCGCGCCCACGTTGGGCCTTAAATACCACCGTGGTGCTTCTTGTTTCCCGAAGTGGAACCCGGCGCGCAGGTTCCAGCCCTTACCCAAGGCCGCCGACCGCGTTACAAAAGGAGGGGGGGTAGGGGGATGGGCTGGGCGGGGGGGGCTTGAACCCTGACCTGAGCCCGATGCTACCCGGCATAGAGACTCAAGACACAATTGTGCGCCTGCTGGGTGTCTTTTATTTCATCAGCTGGCAAAGCGGCCCTGGTCCCTCATATACGGTGCCCACCTTCCCTCCCGGGAGCCGGGGTGAGAAGGGGAGATGATGCAGGTCACCAGGGAAGTAAGGAGGGATGAAAGGGGGGTTGGGGGTGCGGGTGGAGGGGGCTGACTGTTGTCTTGTCACTTCTCTTGGTTGAACATGTAGTTCAAAAGGTCGACCACCCGGTGACTGTAACCGTATTCATTGTCATACCTGGGCGGGGGAAGAAAGTGAAGTGGTCAGGGCAGCCCTGGACCTACAGCCCTCCCCCGCCCCCCTGCTTCCCTCTGTCCCCCAACCCCACCCACGCTTTTATTCTGACTCCTTCCTGGAGCCTTTACCAGGAAATGAGCTTCACGAAATTGTCGTTGAGAGCTATGCCGGCCTTGGCATCAAAGATGGAGGAGTGGGGGTTCGTGAGGAAATCGGAGGAGACCACCTGGGCACCAGGATTTCAAAGATAAGTGTGAGGAGTAGAGCAAGGACCCCCGAGGAGCTCAAGGCTTGGGGTTCTTAGCTGTAGCTCTTAGTCTCGGCTCTGCTCCGCTCACGGGGTGTGTGACTCTTGGGCAACTTCACTTCTCTGAGCCAGTGTCTCAGTGGGGTGGGGTGAAGTTGCACACACACAAAACAAGTGCTCCGAAGGGTCTGAGACAATGGTTCTGCCTGCAGGGGACTGGCCAAAGGACACTGCCTGCCAACACCCTAACACTGTACCAAGCACCCCACTTCCTGGGAGCAGTGCAGGGAATTTGACCCAGGCAGCAAACAGGCCTTTTGTGGGGAGTGGCGGCGAACCCGCCCCTGGCTGAGCGAGAGGCCCCAGCTCAGTGTCTGGGGTGGAAAGTGCAGCAAATACAGGCCCTCGCAGGACTTCAGCCAGCCTTGCACAAGTCCTTAAATTGTTTTATACAGGTCACTTTGAGGATTGAGGTGCACCTGACCCAAGACATGGTATTTTCAATGTCCTCATGTGACAGTTGGACATTGAATAAGGAAGCATGACGTAGAATCACTGTGCTTGAACTATGGTGCCCCCACAGAAGTACTGGCAGTAACACAGATGGCCAGAAGAACAAGCAGTCTGTCGTGGAAGCACTACAACCAGGATGCTCCTTGGGGGCAAGCATGGCTAGATGTCATCTCACGTCCTTTGGACATGTGGTCAGGACCGAACAGTCCCTGGAGAAGGACATTAGGCTTGGCCAAGTAGAGGGGTGGCAAAGGCGAGGAAGCCCCTTCAACAAGATGGATTGACACAGTGGCTACAGCAATAGGTTCCAAGGTCAGTGTAGTTGTGAGGATGGTACAGGACCAGGCAGCATTTTGTTCTGTGGTGGCTGCCTAACTCAGGAACAGACTCAAGCTGCCTGACAGTAACAAGGTGTCGAGAGACCGGGAGCTCTGGGTAATGCAAACAGTTGCATACTCAGCTACTGATGGAAAGTCTGGAGCTTTGCACTCCTGAGAGGTACCAGGTACCAGCCTGTGGCTCTGTCAGAGTGGGCTGGCAGAGGAGCAAGCAGGGAGACCGCACCCAGGTGAACATGCATAGATGGCAATTGGGGGTGTGTGTGGGGGGTCAGGGCGCAAAGTGATGGTGACATCCATCCTTGACCATGACCTGGCTGAGCGAGTGCTGAAAACAGCGGGAGCATCTAGCTTCCCTTTACAGAGTGGGTGTTGAGTGCTTGCTGTGGGCGGGGCCTGGAGGGCTAGGGAGTTGAAGAGAAGCCCCCCTAAATTCCTGCCTCTGGTGCCTGGAGTCAACAGTGACTGATATGAAATTTCAGGTGAGGCAAAGAAATGTCTTTAGGAGTTTGGGGGGGACAATGTTGAGGAACTGGGTTGTACTTGGAAGAAATGAGGGCAGATGATGTGGCCGCCTCCAGAAAAGGTCTGACTTCCCATCTTTCCGTTACAATCTTGACACATCCGTCCTGCAGCTCTGTAGAGGGATCCACATTCCCTCCCCTAGAGGGTGCCTCCCACCGTCAAGTCTCCAAGCCTACCTCATCCTCAGTGTAGGCAAGGATGCCAGCCAGGGGCCCCCTGGCGGCCGTTTTGATAGCCTCCTTGATGTCGTTGTATGGGGCCGGCCTGGCCAGGCGGCAGGTCAGGTCCACCACAGACACGTCTGGGGTTGGCACTCGGAATGCCATGCCTGTCAACTTCCTGGAGACAACATCAGTGATAGGAGTCCGAACTAGCACCCCCTGGGGTTTGGTCAGGACCCCGCTTTCCCTTCACCTCAAGGCTTCTGGGGCCGGCCCAACCCTCCTGGAGTGTGTCCTCCTCCCTGGCTGCAGCCTTCTGCTCTCTTACCCGTTCAGCTCCGGGATGACCTGGCCTACGGCCTTGGCAGCCCCTGTGGAGGCTGGGATGATGTTCTGGTGGGCGCCTCGCCCATCTCGCCAGGCCTTCTTTGAGGGCCCATCCACGGTCTTCTGGGTGGCTGTGTAGGAGTGGACTGTGGTCTTAGGGAAGAAGATGGCTGAGGTGAGGCCTCGCTGCTCTTGAGTGCCCGTGGGGCGGTGACTCCAATGTGGAGACCCTCAGCACAGGCTCTCGCAGGGGCAGAGGCATGCCAGGGGCCAGCCCCGTGGGAGATTTGCAGAGGGTTTCCAAAGACTTTGCCCACCAGTACCCCTCTTTCACTCCTGGGGCCTCCCCTCTCAACTCTACACACTAAACCAGCCCCTGAGGGAGACTCACTGCCCTCCAGCCCCTTCCGACTGACTCACGGCGACCCTCTCGGGCAGGCTAGACCTGCCCCCAGGGCTCTTGAGGGTGTAACTGTTCTTGAGAGTAGAAAGCTTCATCTTTCTCCAGAGGAGCATCTGGTGGTTCGCAGCCCAACCTGTAGCCCACTATGCCAGGGGGGCGGGCTGCCCAAGATGGTGGGTCTCCTGAGCACCCGTCGGCTTCAACCCTGTGTCTGTGACTCACCATCAGTCCTTCCACAATCCCAAATGTCTCATGGATGACCTTGGCCAGGGGGGCCAGGCAATTGGTGGTGCAGGACGCATTGCTGAAATGACCCAAGTGCACAGGAGGACCATGAGATGGGGCACAGCCCTCACCCCTCACCCTCACCTTGCTCTCTGGGGGGCGCAGGGGAGATATGCACACAGGACTTGGTCTTCTGAACACTCTGTTGTGGGGTGTGTGTGTGTGTGTGTGTGTGTGCCATCGGAATGAAGGTGGCAGGGGAAGTGGGGCAAGGGAAGGTGCTTCGAGCTTGCTTTCCCCAAGCCTGGCGTTTCCATCAGGGCATTTTCAGGGCCACATTGGCATGATAGCAGTCTGGAAGAGAGGTGATGCCTCCCCTGCCCCTCCCCCCTGGGGAGGAAACACTAGCAGTTCTCTGGAGAGTGGGGAGAGGTTTAGGGGAGATCTGACACTCACCCTACCCTCATCAGAGGCTGGCGTGGGCTCCACTTTCATACTTTGGGCGAGTG